AGAGTTTGTTTCTAAAACAATAAATACCGATTTGTTACATTTGGATATTTAATTTAAAAAGTAAACTTTAATGTTTTTTTTTTCAAATAAAACTGAATAAAACTATACTTTGTTTTTGTTGGCTATATCGGTCAATCTTAAATTATAAATATTAAGGTACAAGTAGTATACGTATATGATATGCGAATTTTTTTGAATGTCATGTAACCTAAAATAAGATACTTTAGAGGTTTATCCTCCGCGGTCATCGGGAGGCCCGTCACAGTCCAGCCTAGGGGCCCGAAATTTCTGTCGGCGGGCCTGCATACTATCAACGACATCATCGGGCAGTGTATAAGTTTGTGTGAGTGTGTGTACGTGTGAGTGTGTTGTGTTTGTGAGAGTGTAGATATGTTTGTGTGTGTGTGTTTGTTTGTTTGCGTGAGTGTATGTTTTTATTAGTGTATAAGTTTGTGTGAGTGTGTGTATCTGTGAGTGTGTTGTGTTTGTGTGTGTATGTGTGTGGATCTGTGTGCGTGTGTTTATGTGTTTGGCGACTACTAAAAAATTTGTTTCAAGGAAGATTGAGTGCTGATGCACTTGTAAAACCTAAATGTAAAAAATTAAAATAAGAATGAATGAATGAATTACCTGGATGAACGGATAAATAAAAGAAAAATACGAATGAATGAATAAATGAATGAAATACTTAGATGAATGAAATACTTAGATGAATGATTGAAATATATGAATGAATGAATGAATGAATGAATGAATGAATGAATGAATGAATGAAATACTTGGATGAATGGATAAATGATTGAAATATGCAAATGAACAAATGAAATACTTGGATGAATAGATAAACATACCAATGAATGAATGAATGAATGAATGAATGAATGAATAAATGAATGAATGAATGAATGAATGAAAAATTAGAATACCACTTACAGCAACAAAAGCTTCATGTCTGTCGCTCATGGCTTTCCTCTTCGGCTGGTCGGTCAGTGCCTGGTTTTGCTGCTGCTGCTGAATTCTCATCAGAGCCCTGGTCGGGTCGTGCTGGATCAGCTGGGTGGGTAGGGAACTACGATTGATGGTGTTGTTGTGGTGGCTACTGTTGTTGCGGTGGCTGCTGTTGTTGTGGTGGCTGCTGTTGTTGTGGTGGCTGCTGTTGTTGTGGTGGCTGCTGTTGTTAACGTTCTCCTTGCCTGCCTTCAGAAGCTTCTTTTTCAATACGGCGACAAAGTGTCGTCGCCGCGTTCGACATTTCAGGTCGCATTCCAGAACGTTCTTCCAGAGCCTGCTTACTTGTGTAAATCTGTGTTTGGGGATGTAGTAGTAGTAGTAGTAGTGGTAGTAATTGTAGTAGTAGTGGTGGTGGTGATTGTAGTGGTAGTAGTAGTAGTAGTAGTATTAGTAGTAGTAGTAGTAGTAGTAGTAGTAGATTGGCTCCTTCTCAAATTTAAGAACCATTTTAACATTCCACCGATGAATTACAAGATGTATTATAGGATAAATTATATGATGACTTGGATGATAACATCATGATGACAACAAAACATTAGAAAACATGGAACGCCAAAATTTATAAAAATATGGAATGCCAAATCCCACCTGACAAGATCCTCGTCTGAGAGATGTGACATAATTTTTCCGAGGAGTACATGAGCCCCTTTCACGAACAAGCCCTCGATAATGTCATAGTAGGTGAGACCCATCTTTCGACCAATCAGATTTTCAAGGCACGGTGGTGCATTATCCCGGAGAAATTTTTTTAGTTTTGCATCGAACGTAAGGCTATCGGTTTTGCTGTGCTTGGTTGGAATGTGCTCGGGTTTCTGAGGCGAGACGATGCTGACGTTGTTGTTGTTGTTGATCGAGGTTGTTGTATTATTGCACGAAAATGTGACGTTGCTGTAGTCAGGTAGTTGTTGTTGGCTGTATGATGATGTCACCGACAATGACATGACATTATCGCAAGCCGACATCAACTCATCCGATTTGGATTTGCTCCCGCTAGCCATAGTATCGACATATTTGTTTCTGCAGATGCCACCGTTGAAACTCATGTGTATGTTGCTATTATTGACATTAAAAGCCGACATGCATTGCTTCAGCGAGGACACGTCGTGACTTGGATCGTGCACAATGCCGCTGATGTTCTCATCGGAGCACGAAGTTGAGGTGACCCAGCTGCCGTTCGAGTCATCACTGTTATAGAAGGAGGATTGGTCCTTTAGTTGGCGATGCAAAAATGATGGAGTGTCAAAGGTGTACGAGCGTTTGAAGTCCACGCACGAAAACGTTTTGTTGCTGAAGGTGTTGAAGTTGTTGTTGCTCTGAATGTTGCAGCTGATGTTGGTGTTTTTACGGTTGTTGCTTTCGTTGTTGAAGATGTTCTCATTGAGGTACTGGCTGATCTTTTGCGTGTTGAAACTTTCAAAACTTTTGCGAGGTTTGCTCAGCAGTGGATGCTGCCGTTGGTTTTGACATCGGAGTCTATCAACAGTTTGTTGTCGTTGTTGATCAGCATTTTGTTGTTGCTGTTGTAGAGGGAACAAACAATTACCCACGTAATCATTCTCCTCTCCCAACTTGCGACCCTTCTTTGTAATTTCACTTTTAATCATTTCAGCTGGAGAATCAACGCACAGCTGATCATTAGCTATTGGGAATGCAGAATAAAGATTGACATCATTCATCAACTCATCCTCATTTTTTGGTAGCTGCAGAAAGCAATCGCTGGGGCTGTTGAAGCCGCTGTCAATCATCGACTGACTGGCCGCTTGAGGAATGGAACATTTCTTTCTCAGCTGACTCACGGAACTTTTTGAAGCATTTCGTAAAGCGTTTTGCGAGTTGTGTCTGCATATGAGCGCGAACTTTGGCGTACTGGTCGTGACGTCCATCATCATATTTGTAGAGTTGGATGATAGTGGAGATGCAAATGTTGCTGATGTAGTTGTTGCTGGGTGGCTGATGTTGTTGTTCATATTGTTGTTGTTGTTGCTAATCATGTTGTTGCTGCTGTTCACTTTGTTGTTGCTTGTGACTGTTAGTGAAGATGGTCTGTTTCGATCGGTGAAAATTTTCTTACCCCTTGAGAGTAGACTCCTGATTGGCTGGGCACACTTGCTTTCCGTCTGCCGTTTCGGATGCTGTCCGGATTTTTTGGTGACGTTCTCGTCGTTTGGTTGAGACATTTTCTGAAAAAATGTAATTAGGTTAGTTAGGAAGATGTCAATAATAACAAGAAAAAAATATAAATTTAGGCGTAATTAATCGCTAATTTAAAATTTAATCGGCCCTGTGCGAAAGAAAAACTAATTTCCACGTTTTGATTTAAATTTTAAAATTAATTAAAAATTAATTAAATTTAAAAACAAAAACAGCAAAATAACCTCTTAAGTTCCGAGTGCACTACAATGTGATATGAAAATAAAAAACAAGTTAACAATAAACGAGAGAATAAATAATTAATTAAATTAATAATAAATGTTTTAGATTAAAATGTGAAATTTAAAAATAGTTTTTTTAATTAGTTTCTCAACATTTCTTCTACAGACTCTCTCTAGATGTATTTACCATTTTGTAATATGCGCCATTTTCCTCCTCAGCCAATCAGATTTGAAAGTGATCTCACGTGACCTTCGTACACACTTTAAATTATTATAAAATAATTAAATAATTAATCTATAATTATTGATATTATATTATTATGTTATTATTATTATTCTAAAAATATTATTATTATTGTTCTAGCCGTTGACTTTAAAACTGCGATACTAATCAATAAATACATAAATATGCTAATTATATACATGTGCTATGGTGTTGTAAAGTTGCATCTATATAGCAAATGTTGCTGGTACCAGAGAATTATCAGTTTTAATAGAATAAAGATATTGATAAGTCGGTTGTAAAATTACAATTTTAATGTTCTTTGAAGTCTGTAGATTGATTTTTTAAAATTTCGAATACTTTAGGACATGAATTTTGTGTTATTTTATTAAAAGGGTTAAATTAGTTCACGTTTTAATAGTGTTTGATGGTATAATATTGTTTAATTAACCGCAAGAAAGTGTGCGCATCGTTATGAAATATTCAAATGAGTACTAGATTATTTACGAGCCACTTTTTTTACAACCGGCGGTTATATTTAAATTTCAATGTGAGTGTAATAAACTATACTTTAATTGATTTATTGTTTTTTTTTGTTATTGCCACTGTTTAGCCAACAATTATTTTATTGATTTATTATTTATTCATTTCAGAACGAGTTTCTGTACCTGCAATTTAAGTGTTAAGTGTTTGGTCACCTACCAAACAGGACAGATCCCATCGAAAAAAGCACGGGGCGGCCAAATTTAAGGAGCGGCCAATGGAGAAAATAAAAATGTCAATGCTACTACTACTGCCAATATCAATAATAGTATTTCGTTACTTTTACTTTTTACTACTTTACAAAAACACACAAGCGCGCGTAATAAGAATAAAATTTTCTTAAATTGTGATTTTATCCTGAGGTCTGAAATTTCAAAACAACAATTTGATTATAAAACGGTATATTTTTAATGTATCCCAATCTTATTCTCATAGTTAGTTCAGATCCCCTAACCATGCAAATACAATACCACGAACAATCATAAACCAAAATGCACTTTGCATTCTAATATAATATTCTATCTTTTTGGAAAAACGAGATGAAAATTTTAGATTTAGATTTTGTTATTAATAGTTCATATATACGCAGATGCATTGTTGCCTTTTCCTGATTAGCAAAGCTTTCTTTAGCTCTTTATTCATTGTCTTTTTATTTATTCTTTTTACACGATTGGCCTGGGCAGACTATGTTTTAGCTACTGCAACTTATAAATTTCGATGTTAATTAGCCAAAATTTGCCAAAATTACTATAAATTGACGGTAAAACAATTGGATCATTTAAAAATTAAACAAATTTAGGAAACCGTTTCAGTTGAACTATATTTTAATATTTTTTTAAATAATATTCGAAATGGTGAACGAGAATTACAAAGATATTGTAAAAAAGTTTAAAGAGGTCATTTTGAACGATCTTGATTTTAGTTCATCTTACCTAATCTAATTGGAAAGATTGGAGGTAATTTAATTAGCCAGTTCATTATAATCCTTTTTTATTTAAAATAAATGAATGATCGAATTTTTTACTTATTTTTTAAACTCTAATTCAAAAAGCCAATAATTTTAAAAAAGATCAATTGTTTGCCACTGATAAAAGTATTATTTTGTTAACGTGTATATACATTTCCACGCATGAATCATACATTTTCAATGCCGTATACCTAAGAAAAATTCTAAATACACTTTTTACTAGTGCGGTTTTTACTTTCTGAATTGAAATATAAGAAAAGTTTACTCGATCGATTTGAAAAATTTGCTTGAAATTCAGAAAATATATAATTTACGGTTTTGTTGTTTAGATTGATTTAGATTGGTTATTATTTAAAGAAAAGTTTTGGTAGAAATTAAAATTATCTACTGCTTAAATCATTTTAATTGATTGATTGTTTTTTTGATTGATTGATTGAATTCTTCTCTTTTCCTTCTTGTCATTTCCTTAGTTTTATCTATGATTGATAATTGTATTAATAACTCGCTCTACTATGGTCTTCCTGATTCAACACTCTATTCTTTAAGTAAAGCTTTTAACTCTGCTGCTTCTGCCCATTTCTTTTCACATCTATCTCCATATTTTGTTATCTTGCACTGGCTACCTCTAAAATACAGAAAACTTTTTAAAATTTTCACATTTATGTATAAGTCTCAATGTTAATTATTTTCTATATTTATCAGATATATTAACTGAATCTAAACGCACCGGTTTACGATCGTCTTCTTGTTCTCACTCTCTGCCTCCTTCTCTGACCACTTTTCCATCACTTACAAAGTTTAGAGCGGACCCATCCGTGTGCAAAATTCATTGAGGAGCGCTGGTAGACTAATTGATTGTTTGATTGATTGAATGATTGAATGATTGATTAATTGTTTGATTGATTAACTGATTAAATGATTGATTGATTAATTGATTGATTGATTGATGGATTGATTGATTGATTGATTGATTGGTTGATTGATTGATTGATTGATTGATTGATTGATTGATTGATTGATTGATTGATTGATTGATTGATTGATTGATTGATTGATTGATTGATTGATTGATTGATTGATTGATTGATTGATTGATTGATTGATTGATTGATTGATTGATTGATTGATTGATTGATTGATTGATTGATTGATTGATTGATTGATTGATTGATTGATTGATTGATTGATTGATTGATTGATTGATTGATTGATTGATTGATTGATTGATTGATTGATTGATTGATTGATTGATTGATTGATTGATTGATTGATTGATTGATTGATTGATTGATTGATTGATTGATTTACAAATTTTAATTGAGGATCTTAAGCGAAAAGAATTTTACATTCATTTTTTTTTTATTTTAGAGCTTTTTAATACGTTTTAATTTCAAAAAATTGTCGTACACGGTTATCTAGGTGAACTTGCGCCTTCTTTGGTCACCGCACATTGGCAATAAGCCTAAGCACATGCCTTGTCTGAATGCATGTACATTCAGTGGCGGATCTAAGGGTTAGGCCGGAGAGACCATCACCCAGTTGTGAGCAGTATATTTATTAAAAGAACTCAGCTTTAGCATAAAAAAAACACCATATTATATCAAAAAAAGGTCGCCAGCTTAATTTTGGCCACCCTACCACAAATCTTGGCTCCTTGTCCAAATTTGAAAAAAATTTATACTTTTAAATATTTTCAAAATTTGGCCCCACCCCCCCGTCAAAGTTGTCTAGATCCGCAAATGTATACATGGTCTAATTGTTTGAACTGGACATTTATAGGGCAGAATAAAATTATTTTATTTGTCGTTCGTATGTTCATAAATTTTAATTTTGAAGAGAAATGTGACTCAATGCTATCATCACTGCCTACGAAGAACAGGAATAAATTGTTCTATGACTGGCTCTTGTACAATGTTGATGGGAGAGTTTATCAAATGATCCTGGATGCTTTCCAGTCTAATGGTTTATATTTGGTTCAATTTTTTTATTCTTATCATTTATTGTTTTGCAGCTCTGACAATAACTTCAGTAAGATACTCTTGCGACAACCACACCACACAACACAACGCACATATACACATACATCGTTTCACCTAATTTAGCTATTTTAAATATAATAATTGGATAATAATTTTATTAAGCATGCGTGTAGTCGAATATTATTGTTTATCATTATTTAAAAACAGGCTCCGATGAAATGTATAAAATATTAAGTCTGGATGACTTGAATATTAATGATAAGGAAATCTTCAGAGAATTATTTTTAAGAAGATGGAGTATCTTAGTAGAATTATCTATAATATAATTATAATAACTTTAATATAATTATAATATAATTACAATATAATTATATTTTCTAGACGCAGTAGTTAAATTCGTACAGTCAAATTTCAATAAAGGATTTTATTAAATATCTTCGGAAAGTATTTTAAATTATTTTATAAATGAAAAAAAAAGAAATTTTCAAAAAAAAAATTGTGAAGAATAAACGGAGTAAGTTTTATGAGGCCATTAGCGTAAGTTAAAGCAATGTTAATCCGACTGAAAATTAGGCGCATTCGTTTCGATACGGAATTGGGAATGATGATGATGATGACGATGAGAATGATGATGATGATGGTGGTGGTGATGATGACAATGGTGGTGATGATGGTGGTGATGATAGTAATGGTGTCTAGATTTGTCCCTGGCTGATAAGGATACTACTACTACTACTACTACTACTACTACTAATAATAATAATAATAATAATAATAATAATAATAATAATAATACTACCACTACTACCATTACCACTACTACTACAACTACTTGTTGTTCATAATGATGTCATTGTTCACCGCGGCAAATAAATTATGATAATTACAAAGCCCATACATATAATTACAAAAATAACACCGGCGCTAATGATAATGAGGCTAATTAACATAGTGATAACAAAACATGATACAAAC